TATTTAGTTATAACCCAACGTGGTGTTCATCACGATTCATTATAGTGACTTTCTTTTTAATAAAAATGGTCTTTGGCCATATTTCAAAATCAATAATTTGAATTTACTTTCCTTAAAACTCAACAACTGAAAATTAAAATGTATGGTGACAACTATTTTTTACAATTATTTGAGTACTGACATAATGAACTCCCCCCCCCCCCGTTCTAGAGCCTACATAGATTCTAGGATTTCGTATATGTATCTATTAATGTAAGCCCAACAACATTTGTAACTAATGGTAAGAAAATCAGATGAACACTTAGTTTATATATATTGATTAATAGAAGAAAACTTAATTAACTCAACGCAAAAGTCAATAAAGATTAAGGAGAAAACTTCACAAAATAAAGATATATCCCAAATAAGTTGGCACAGACTGTAAATCAATCCTGAGCAAACACCTTAACCAAACAATCCACTTATATATATTTAACATTAATCTTTGATCTAATCGATTCTTGATAATCTCACAAAGTATTTATGGAATCAATTAGGCTCAACTAACTTTGACCAATATAATTGACTTGCTAGAAAAAGTGGAAAAGGGAGAGAAAGGAAAAGAAAAAGTTAGAATAAAGTACCAATCATTGGTAATCAATTCACAGATTTCTCCTTTGCCCCTCCATTCTATTTCTTCAGAGATAAGCCACAGCCACTAAACAATTCAACAAAATAAAAAATCATCAATATCAAATTTAACCAGGCTGAGATATTATAGATGCAACACATAATGATGATGAAAAAAAGTTCCATCCATTGCTTTGATCCGAACACCCCGGTGTCAATCCCAAAAAAAAAAAAAAGTTGAATCCATCAGGTTATCATATCTAAGTTTTATAAGATATGACATCTAATACTAATTCTCATTTTTTTCGTTTATTTCACTGTTGATGATGTGATTAGTAACCTGACATCGGATAGCACCCAAGTATGGTCACCCTAGCTAACATCACTCCAAATTAATACAGTATAAATGTTGTTATACAAGTATATCACAGATAAGAGTGAGCTGTGATATAGAGCTCTAAGTGTAGGGTTCTAAATCGAGCTCTACATAGTTGATAGGGGTAAAGACCAAAAAAAAGGAAAAGACAAATCATAATGGGAAAAAAGACAAATCGAAAAGAGCTCCTATTTTAGAGGTCCAAAACATTTTTGTATGAGAATTTTGGGGGTGTGTGTGTGTGAGGGAGAGTGAGAGAGAACTTGAGTTTGCAGAAAGTAGGTAATCTGATTGTAAGGCCTTTCAAAACGAGAAGTCCATTTTCATCAAGATAGCCAATGATTTTTGCGTAGTTCACCACTTGGAACGCCAGTAAAAAAACCCCAGTGTAAGTACCATCCATGAAAACCATTAAGAAGGTTGGATTCTCAGGATTTGTGTCCTTGCAGCATAAAGTTATGGTTTTCACTTTCTTGGTTTCACCTGATTTGATTCTAATGATTTCTTGATACCGGTCAGGTCGGGTCGGGGGAACAAAAACTCTGATTTCCATCTCCACTGTAGACCTATTCTCAAAAGCAGTTAGCCTAGCTCCCATTGGTGCACTGTGTGCTTGTGTATGGAATCCTATGAAAGAATTTGTAGATTTTGGTGCACTGTGTGCTTGTGTGTGGAATCCTATGAAAGAACTAGTACTTGAACCTCATATTTATATTACGGTCTCATTTGGAAACTTAGTGATTTTCTCTACTTTAAACTATACAAAAACAAAGAAGGGTAAAAGTTAAAAAACAAAAAAATACATCTACATATATGTTGATGCCTCGTATATTTCTATGCCCTAAATTTATATTCATATACATAAACAATAACAAAAATTAAAAAATTTGCCCACCATGTAGGCATCCTAATTTTTTTCAAAATCATTATGTCCTATGTCCACCGTCGTCTCTACTTCATTGTAGAAGATACTGATCCTATATCATCTTTTCACTCATAAAACTAGTTTATATTACCAAGAACAAGGCTGTCCATGAAAATGAAAGATTTAGAAGAGCTTTCATGGAACTTTCGGTGTGAACACTATGGAGCAAGCTCCCAAGTTAATGGAGACAACTTTATTTGTTTTTTTTTATTCATAGCAATAGTGGTAGTGACAACACATACTCGGATCACTTCTGCTACTATGTCCTACATGCTAAAAATTTCTTCAAATGTCAGTGTTTTCATGATATATTATAATACTAGTGAAAGCAACTATCTTTAAATACTTTTCTAAAGATCCAATAAAGGTACCTGTATAGGATAGTAAAGGGTGGTGGGCTGGCTTCTTTGTCAATTGGCATGAGTGCATTCAATATAAGAATTGTATGTTGCAATCCGAAGCACTAAAATAGACATTAGGTTAACAAATGTGTTACATGAACTCTTTTACTTCTTTCTATTTATACTTGTGTTCACTAGATATGACAAGAGTAAGGGTGCAAAAACTCAATTAAATTCTCTAATTTTATATAATATTTGAAAAAGAAGACAATTACATTAGCAAGTAAACATTTCTTCTCAAACGAACAGAGATATAAATTGAAGTATATTCCTAAATAATTGACAATATTTTATCAAAAAATATTATACAATATGCAATATATATGTGTGTTTAAGAGGTGTCCCACACTCTTATTGAACTTTTGAATCTGAAATCTAGATTTAGGAATATCTGGTTACCGAGTTATCAAAAAAATAATCCAATAGTCCATCCAATCAAATAATCTTTTTTTTTTTTTTGTTTCTTTCTAGATCTTTTATTTTTATCTTTTAAGTGGTTAATCAGTTGGTGATGGTACATTTGTTTAACTGTTTATGTAATGGTTATTGATTCTTTGAACAAAGGTAGTACAGTTTCATCTCTATTATTGGTTATGCAGTTTATTAATGTGAAAAGATGTAAAATAATATTTTTCATACATAGATTCTTCCTTTCGCCCCATAATCATAAATCTCCTTAAGTATTGTCTTCTTTACTAACTCTGTTTCAATGTTCTGTTGTTGTTTGTCACAAGTCCTTAATTTCTACATCTTAACGTAGAAGTGAAGCTATACCTCCCCTCTCCTTCCCTCCCTAGCAGTTGCATTGGCAGGTGCAATTTTTAATTTATTTACTTTTAATTAATAGTAAGGCACTGCCAGGTGTGCTTTTTATTTATTTGTTTATTTTAATTGATAATATGATACCTGCGAGTGTGCTTTATTTATTTATTTTCTTTCAATAAATAGTAGGGCACTGGCGGGTGTGCTTATTCACTCATTTGATTTTGATAATTAATATTTGATAGCAGGGCTGGCGGGTGTGCTTTTTTGTTAATTTGTTTTATTTTAATTGATAGTAGAGTACTTGCAGGTGTTTTTTTATTATTTCCGTTCAATTGATAGCAAAGCACTGGTGGGTGTGCTTATTTGTTCATTTTCTTTATAGAATTGATAATTTATAGCAGAGCACTGGCGGGTGTGCTTTTTTCTATTTTCTTTTAACAATTGACAATTGAAAGCAGAGCACTGGCGAGTGTGCTTTTTTCTATTTTCTTTTAACAATTGACAATTGAAAGCAGAGCACTGGCAGGTTTGTTTTTTTATATTTTACTTTATAGTAGGGTACTTGTAGGTGTGTTTTTGAATTTATTTCCTTTGAATTGATAGCGGAACATTGGCGGGTGTGCTTATTTATTTGTTTGATTTTAATTTATAGCAGGGCACTGATGGGTGTGCTTTTTTATTTGTTTGTTTCATTTTAATTGATAGTAGAGTACTTGAAGGTGTGTTTTCTTATTATTTGCGTTTAATTGATAGTAAAGCACTGGCGGATGTGCATATTTGTTCGTTTTCTTTTAAGAATTGATAATTGAAAGTAGAGCACTGGCGGGTGTGCTTTTTTATATTTTAATTTATAGTAGGGTACTTGCTGGTGTATTTTTTAATTTATTTGCTTTGAATTGATAGCAGGGCACTGGCAGGTGTGCTTAGTTATTTGTTTGATTTTAATTTATAGGAGGGCACTGGCGGGTGTGTTTTTTTGTTGATTTGTTTGATTTTAATTTATATTATGGTATTTACGAGTGTACTTTTTTATTATTTGCATTTAACTGATGCCAAATTTGCACATCTGTTGTCTACGTGCACATTTGTTGTCTATGTGATTTGTTATGTAGATATGATGGATGAACTTGAAAGTAGTAGGCAGAAAGAGGTCAACAATAAAATTGACAATCAAGTTGCTCCGGATGGCAAGGATGATATTGTCAATGGGAAAGAAGAAGGATTAGCTTCCCAAACCTATGATAGTTTACGAATGTTTACTAAGGTTGATGTTTTGCAAATGAAATTCAATTCAAAGGAGGATACTTATTCTTTCTACAATGCATACGCTAAGGTCATCATTTTTAGCATACGAAGAAGTAGGAAACGAATTTGTGGAGACAACAAATTTGTAGCGAGTAGGGAATAGGTTTGTTCAAGGGAAGGCGTAAGAGAAAAGAAATACTTACAGCATGTGGAACGGGTAAGAACTCCCAGGGCAGAAACTAGAATTTTTTGTAGTGCCATATTTCATGTGCGTTATGACAAGACAATTAAAAAATATGTTGTGACCCACTTTGTAGGGGAACACAACCATCCCTTGGCAGCACCACACTGCGTCCCTTTTTTGTGGTCACATAGGTTTGTAACAAGTGCAGACCAAGCTCAAGCAAAGGTCATGCGCAATGTGGGTATGAGAACGAGTCAAATCATGGATTTTATGGTCCATCAATCAGGGGGTTATGAGAAGGTGGGCTTCATTCACAGAGATTTGCACAACCAGTTCCAAGTTGAGTACAAAGTACAACTCGCAGAAGGGGATGTAGAGGGTGCCTTAGGATACTTATCAGCTAAACTAAATGCAGATCCATTATTTTTTTTCAAGTACAACGTCGACAAGGATTATCGATTGGACAAGATTTTCTAGGCAGATGGTGGGTCTCGGATGGACTATGCTGCATTTGGTGATGTATTGGTATTTGATACAACTTATCGTACAAATCAATATAAGAAGCCATTTGTGATTCTAGCTGGCGTAAGTAACCATTTTATGACAATCATATTTGGATGTGCTTTGTTGCCTGATGAGACAATGGAGACATACACGTGGGTGTTGGAAATGTTAATGGAGGCCGTGGATGGACAAAGACCCATCTCTGTTGTAACAGATGGTGATAGGACAATGCATCAGGCAATCGAAAGAGTTATTCCAAATAGCAGACATCGTTTATGTTCTTGGCATCTGGAGAAAAATGCCTCAACAAATGCCCACATACCAGAATTTACTAATGATTTCGCACAGTTGATGTTAAAGAAATATAAAATTGTTGAGTTTGACAGTGCGTGGGCTCGTATGGTGAAACAATACAAGTTGGAGAACAATAACTGGGTGTTGGAGATTCACCGCAAGCGTGATAAGTGGGCTGAGGCGTATCTTCGTGGTCACATGTTTGCTGGGATGAGGAGCACTCAATGTGTCGAAGGTATGAATGCATATTTCAATATGTTCCTAGAACAAAAGGTAAGGTTGTACGAATTTGTAGCACAATATGATAAGGCTCTTGCTAGGATGCGTGTTAATGAGGCAGAAGCAGAATCTAAAACAGAGAATAGTTTCCCAATTTTGACTACGCCATTGAGAAGTTTGGAAAAACATGCAGCTGAGCTCTTTACTCGGAAGATTTTTTCAATGTTTCGACGTGAAATCAGCAAAGAGGGTAAATTGTTTGTGATGGAAAGAGTTGAGTTGGAGGATCGTCGCACCTATCATTTTGGTGAGTACAAGGCACCAACAAGCACATGGACGGTTGAGTATTTTCTAGCAGATATCATAATAAAATGTTGTTGCTTGAAGTTTGAGTCGTTTGGCATTCCTTGTTGCCACATGGTTGCCGTCATGAAATCTGAACAATTAATGTGTATTCCACCGAGTTGTGTCTTGAAGAGATGGACAAGATATGGTAGGTCAGGATATCAACAACCAAGTCTTACCCAAATTTCTAGCACCCTAACACAGACAGCCCGGTTCGGTATACTGAGCTCATGTTTTAGTGAAATGTCATATTATGCCTCACACACAAACAATGATTTTGAAGAGGCAAGGGAAATGGCTTTCCAGATAACATTGAAGATGAAAAAGCACTTGGCAATGCGAACAAAATATAATATCGAGGTTGGGGACAAAAATATTGCACCCAAACTATGTGGCGTTGGTGATCTTAATGTAGTAAAGACCAAAGGGAACCCTGGAGGGACATCTTCTATGGGTAAACCTCCAAAACTAATGCGGTGTGGGTATTGTAGGTATGGTACTTTAATTGCATGTCTTTTTTCCATCCTGTTGCATGTACATGATTACTAAAATTGTTTATACATTATTTGCTATTGTAGGAGCACAGACACACGAAGTGATGGTGTAAAAAATTGGCTTCAACTAGCCAAAGAGAGGGTAGCGACTCAGACATTAAAACATTCATGAACACAGAGTTGGAGCCCCACATGGAAAATATCGATGAGCCGACAAATTCTCAAGTGTAGTTTAGTTTTATGATGAGCCTTATAGTGATCGATACGTTGTTTTTGCAAGGAGACATTAGTGCATATTAGTTACGTTTTGTTGATGTCTTAGGTGTTTTTATCTTTCACAATATCCATAAATTTCTTAGTTTGGAGAATAATTTAAAAAATAAAGGTGAATAACTCCCAAATATATTTGCTTGACTATTGTCCTTAAGTTGGATGAGCTGTCCTTACGTTGGATGAGTTTACAATCACTACTAATATTGCAACGTGTCTCTCTCTCTCTCTCTCTCTTTTTTAGCTCTATTATTTGTTTTTCTTTTTAATGAATAACAAAGAATGCATAAATATGGCTATGCCACCCCAAACGTATGGGGCTCTCTTCATATTTTAGTTTTGATTTTTTGAAATTGCCTCGTTTTCTTATCAAAATTGACATCTGTCTACCTTGTTTTACATGTTAACATGTAAATTTCTTAGTTTGGGGAATCATTTAAAAAAATAAAGGTGAATAAATTCCAAATCTATTTGCTTGACTGTTGTTCTTATGTTGGATGAGTTTACAATCACTATTAATATTGCAACGTGTCTCTCTCTTTTTCAGCCCTACTATTTACTTATTTTTTTAATGACTAACAAAGAATGCATAAATATGGCTATGCCATCCCAAATGTGTGGGACTCCCTTCATTTTTCAGTTTTGATTTTTTGAATTGTCTCGTTTTCTTATCAAAATTTACACCTATCCACCTCGTTTTAGATGTTAACATATGTTTGAATGTTACGTAGGTAATTGAAATTGGCGCGGAAAAAAAACAACAATATTGGGTAAAGGAAAAGCGGTAGCTCCTCCCAATGACCTTGGCATTTTTCCTAAACGGGCTGTTACTGTAGAGTGCAGTGAAGGAGTTAATTAATTCTGAAATTTCAGTAATTGTGGGCCACCTACATATCCAAAACCTGATTGAATGGGTAGGAAAGGCATATGTCAACTTGGTACGAGAATTCTTTGGTAACATACCAAATAATCCACATGCAGCATAGTTCGTGGAACATATGGCAAAACAAAAGAGCAAAGTCAAAAGCAGCACGAAAGACAAGATCGAACCATGTTGAAACTATTTTATGTTGAAGCTTCATAAATGTGACTAATGAAGACAAATCTAACGGGTCCAACCATGATGAAAGCCAACAAATGGACACAACCATGGATGCATGACCCAACTTCTTGTCAACCCTATTCTTTTATGAATAGTGTCATTTTTTTTTTCCTTCTTCACTTGTAAAACAAATTGTAAACAATGTCAGCCTTCCTATGATTTTTTTGAGTGATTGTAATTGTAACAATTAAGAGTACTGCTTCACAATTACATATCAGATGTAGTTTCATCACACCAATCGTTAGCACTAGTAGATATTCCATAGAAATTGGTAAAAAAATCCAAAACTAATATACTTATTCAAGCATTCACAAAAAATTGCCAAACCGAGTTAGTTACATTCATCCAAGCTTCTTCAACCATTAAATATGCTCATAATTGTAAAAAAAACTTAGTGGCAAAAACGATGTTGTTATCAATCTTTCTTTTTTTTTTTGTCCTTCCAGTGCCTAAAGTACCTATTCAAAAGGAAATTACATTGAATAAGTAATGAGCTGAGCTTATGAAGGGCATAAGTTGTTCATGGTTTGGGGATGTACCCTCTCTTTGTATGCGTCGAACCGATCCATAACATCAATGTACTTACTGTTCGACAAATCTTTCACTAGGTCGACTAGCAGCCTAAACCTTTCCACTTTATCAAACTAAGGAAATAGAGCAGACAATATACCATCAACAATACCATCATATGACAATATAATTGTAATAGTGTAATTATGTGGTTAAACATGAAATAGTCACCTTGTATACGCCGGTCGGCATGACAACACCTTGCATATACTTTATGACGAACATACCACAGTCAGAACTTCATGAAAAGATGCATGTGAAGGTCAACCTTGTGTGTAATATTAATAGGAGAGCCAAAATTGGAGAGTGAAGGAATAATTTTTTTAGTATACCTATCAGTCTTATGTTGGAGACAAAGGGTCTTTCAATCTCTCTAATTCAAATTCCTTGATATTTACAACATACTGGTCTCCAAATAGTGTTGCAATAACAAATGCATTGTTTGACCCTATGCATGAGCGTAGTAAATTAGATTGTGATGATTATTTTACCAAAGAAAAAAAAATTAAATGGCCTACCAGTTTCCTTGCCATTAATTCTCGACTTTCGTCAATTGTGCGACTAGGACGCGAGTCAAATAGATAGGCCATGCGATGTGCCATATCTATCTTGACACAAAACCAATGTTCTCCATTGTCATTTACCGGAATATATATCTAAGCAAAAATAATAACAAAACTTAGTGCAATGTTGCCCAACCAATTTAGAAAATAAAAATTTAATAAATAATAATACCATAAAACACATATTAAAAAATTAATAATAGCAGTACAATGGAGAGGATATTTAGAATAGTCGTGCAAAATGTAAGAGTGCTTGACCCATTACTTCTTCACAGGCATGAAGCTTCCCAGTGTATCGAGACTCCCCAAAATATTCGTCGCATAGTTTTGCATGCTCGTCCCATTCAAAATATGTTGCTACATTCAATAATGTACAAGTATGTTTCATTAAATGTACATCAACACCCAAAAATAAACATGACACACTATACTACTCACCGATACATATGTGGGAAAGTACCATGTACTATGACACTTATCCGGAAAAAGCCTTCTTTGTGCATTTGTCAATTTCGCTAAAACTAAATTAATAATCTACAATACATGCAACAAATAATAATTTCAGACCTATATCATTGAAAATGATATCACATAGCAATATTGACGTATGAAATGAACACTTACGAAACCACGAATCTAGGTTTTTGGTTGTAATGAGTACAAATCTAAGCGGGTGGCAAGTTCAATCGGGGTGTAAAATAGCTCCATCACCACAATATCCTCACTGAATCATGTGAAAATTGAAGGGTTAAACTTACTGTTAATTGATAAAAGAACATACAAACTCAATAAAATTACCTGTTATCCAAATCCTTATCGAAACAATATTCCTTCAAATTTTTTTCCTCAGTAGATAAAGGACATGGCCTTACAATTCGTGCAGTGGATGACTTGTGAATATAACCCAATACATAAATAACAAATTGTCAAACTTTGTACAGTGCGTTATAGGGGATTGGAAATCAAGAACAATAACAGAATGAGTAATAACCTCAATAGCATCAAAATTGGCGCCAAGTAGTTTTCCGAGTAAGTTCAAACTCTACCACAAATTACAACCAACAATAAAAAACCAAAAATCGTGAAATAGAGTATCACAAATGAATAACATTGTATAATACATATATAATCTACATGACTTACTTGATCAAACTTATCCTCCTTTATATCGAGAGACAAATCTGTTGCATTTAAGCCAAGCATTGTTTGGGTTAGTTTTTTTGGAATGGCTTTTCTCTTGTTACTAGCGATGGCTGTATAAAGTGACCGCACATATTGACTTTCCATCCCCTCATCTGAACGTCGAGTGCACCGACTGCCATATGGACCAGTTGATGAACTAGATTCATCAACAAGTTGGAGTTTTGGGATTTTTTTCCTTCGCTTATTGTTCAATCCCACTTTCATTTTGTTTTGCTTATTATTCCTCTCTTGTAGCTGATGTGTAATGGGAGCACCATTTGTATCAGAAGAACCATCAATGGAATCAAAAAATGGTGAATTTGTTACTCATTTTTAACCTGGGTGGTTTGATCATGAAGATGGGAATCCAATTTAAAGATTGATGGTGCGAGCAGAATTCTATTTTCATCCGTGTTTTTTGATGCTACCATAACATCAGGTTGTGGTAGTAGCACAAGGGTGACATGTTCCACTATAGGTAGAATCGTAGATTCTACCACAACATCATGTTTTGGTGGGAGCACATTGGTCACATGTTGAACTATAGGTACAACCGTAGATTCTACAACTCCAGGTGCAACTATGTCAACTAATTTAATACATTGGTTGTGATCCACTTCTCATTGCTTTGGCATTTGCGGTGGCTCCAATTTTTCCATGACCTTGGGAATGGAAGAATTAGCCATTCCACTTTTAACAATGACAACTAGTTCTTCCAAAATACTTTTAATGTCACAAACAGTCGTCTCAATTTTTGAAATCCGACTATCATCAATAGTTTTCATTCCCTCGCTTTGTACTGATGGTGGCATTTGCTCTTCAACAACAAAATTAACAGCAACCTATTTAAAGACATGTTATAGAGAATTTAGTTTTCCATTTCAACATGAATAAGAACAAACAAAACCAAACCTAAAAGAATGGAAACAGAGGATGACCTTCTCATTCTGGTAACCTCCTGAATTTTCGAATAGTTTCAATGTCTTCTTTATTTCTGCATCGCCCCAATCAGCTAAGCAAGGGACCGAGCGAGCACGAGAAACATGACAACCACTCGGAGCAACACGATCAAAGTAAAACAACTGCATCACAAAAATGTATGAATTTAACACATACTATGTAATGAAATAGGCATTAAAATCAAGTATTTATAACAAAACAATTATTAATTGGTTGCAAGTATACCATTATAAAAAAATAAGCATCCATTTGGTTGCGATTGACTTTTTGAACTGTACTTGCGTAAACCACGAACAAGGAATTGAAGAGTGAACTTTAACCAATTATAATCCTTCATGCCATCCACATTCTGAACAAGGTGAATGAAGGATTGCTTAACAACATCCTTTGTGGTTGGGCATAAGAATGCACCTAATATGTATAGGGCAAATATCCTCTTAAATTCCTCTCCAGCTCCATCGATTTT